GGAACACTGATCCCAGCCACCTCTCTCTGCACTGCAGCAGGTTGGGGCCAGATGGGAAGCACCTAACCACGGCTGCTGCAGCTCCGCAGGCTTAGTCAGAGGAGGGGTGCTTTTCCCCTGGCTGGGAGACAGATACACACAAACTTAATTATATCATAGATAGCCGTCCCTTTCTCCACCCCTACCCCCTGCTGCCTCCATGTGGTCATTATATAGCATAGTCCTCCCTTTCTGTTTTATGAGAACCAGTTCCTTTCCAGGCACAATCAAACTGTTACCTTCTTTTATGTTTAGAGGAAGCTCCATATCATATGCGGTGGTCCTAGCTCTGACTGTTAGGAGGAGTTCTTTAACAGATGTATGGACAGACAGATAAACTCTCTCAAATATATAGTAGATAATAATCAGCAGTAACAATCTGCCAGTTAAAAGTGAATAAAATCCTCAAATTTTGCTTTCAAAGCAAAATGCATAATGAACATCCAAACTTGTAGCCTCATAGGTTTAATTTCTTGAATTTTAGATTTACATTTTAATGGAGATTCTTGCAAATAATCTGCCCTTCCATTTGTCATAATTGCTTTGTGCCAACTGAAATTTGCTTGCATGAAAAATATTAACAAGTATATTTACTAGCTAAATGTCATTAAAACTGTCCCCCTCTGAGTCTGCTTTGTAGACCACCAGTAAATTGAAGAAAACTATAGTTGAGGGGCAGTAGCTCTCGGTTCTCTTTTTGGTTGCTCAACAGAACACCAACCATTATACCTTGATCCAGGCATGCCACACCATAGAACTTCACTTGTGATATATATATATATGTGCAAACAGTGGGTATCTGGGAGGATGGAAGTAAGAGAGAAAGTAAAAGCTCAGCACCTCTGTTTCCATGACTTGATTCCCCTGTGCTCAGAACTAGAGATGTTAAGGACTAGTCGATGAGCAAATGCTTATCGGATAGTCAGTCAACTAGTCGATCCCCTCCCCCCTTGCTGCTTCTTTCAGAGGTGCTGCCACACGTGGAGCCCAGGGTCAGGTAAGGAGTCCTCAGCTGACTCTGGTTCCACATGGCAATTCAAATTGGCAGCGCAGCATGGAGCCACCTTGAAATGCACAAGAGCCCCCAGTGGGGCTTCTGTACATTTCAAAGCTGGTATGCCACGTGCAGCCCAGAGTCAGTGGGACTTCCCGCTGGCCCGGGTTGCATGCAGAGTTCTGCATTCCTCTGAAATTTCAAAGGAGGAATGTTGAAGCGCCTATCAACTAGTCAATAGAAATTGACTAGTAAATTAACCATTACTTAACATCCTTACTCAGAACCCTGTTTGGTGGTTTTTTTTTCTTAAGTTGGTATCCCTCTGGCTGAAGAAAATTGGGAAGTTGCTGCTTAATTGTCTAGTGCAGGGATGTGGAATCTCAAGCCAGCTTGCCTGGTTCTGGCCTCCAAGGCTCAGGGCTCTTCTCTCCCCCACATTGGGAAACCTGTTCTGGCGCTGCAGCCCCCTCGCTTCTCCATTGTGGAGCTGGAACACACAAAATCTATTAACCTAGACCCCTATAGGCTCTGGTGTATGAGGGGAATGTGGGGAGAGTGTCTTTCTCCTTCTCAGTGGGTTTAGTTTTTTTATTTTTGCTTCTCACTTATGTGCAGCCCCCCACTGATTTTTGTGTGTGTCAGTGGCCCTTGACAGAAACAAGGTTCTCCACCCCTGGTCTAGTGACTGGTGCTGGTAATGATGGTGCATTTTCTCCTTGGGGAGTATCAGCAAAGTGCTATATACAATAATCATAGTATTTTTCAGTTAAAAATTCAGTAATGAGTGTGGTCTAAAAATCCAGGGTAAAATCCCTTAATGCAGTATTTCTATTGTATGTATGGTAAGTAGTAAATTTCAAACACTTGTTCCAGTAAATGAGATGCCACCTACACATTTGAACAAGCATAACACAGTGGTTAGGGGAAAGGCAGAGAAATTGAATTCTTTCCAAACACTAGAACAGATACTAAAGGTAAATTCTGCCATTCTTTATGCAGTATTATGCTCTTTCTTTGGGGGGGAGAAAAGGAAGGATGGCAAAAGTTTGCAAAGCAAATATAGCAGTGCTTCTGTTTTAGTACCCCACTGAAAAGGGGTTTGTGGAAAACTCATGGTCTGTATCTCCAAATGTAATTTAACCCAAGGCAAGGTGAGGAATCAAAAGTTCACATTAATACCTAATTCTTATACAGTCATATAAAGACTAATGTATTTGTGCTACCTTCCTGGCACTATGACTCCATACCATGTTGCCACTGGCCATATTAGTTAAACCTGGGCTGTCCATCCCTATGTGGAATGGGATGTAGCTAGTGTATACTCCCATTACTTTTGTTGTATTTCAGATGTCTTGGTAAATATCTGGAATATAATTTCTCAAGGACTTGGGACAATTTAGAATTGTGTAGTGGCAGATTGTTCAACACTTAACAGGGTTTGAAACCTTAATAAATTTTTTCCCCAAGTGTGTGTGAGATATTGGTGTGAAAGGCAAATAGTTTTAAGTAGCTTGAATAAAGATTAATCCTATCAGGTTTCATTTCCTGTGTACTTATGAGGCCCTAATCCTGTACGAGTTCTCGTTATCCACATGCAGCAAAATTTTGCCTATGAAAAGGCAAGAAGAAAAACCATGAGTATTTATACATTATAAAGAATCACAAAGGGCAAGTAATCTGACGCAACAAGGAGTCATACTTACTGAACTTAATCATATGAATAATGCTATTCTAGTCAATAGAATTACTTTTGAGTAAAGTGAGGAATTGTCCCACTGTACTCTGTTCTTGAAGACTTGACGGGCACATTCAAATGCTTGGCTTTTTTAAACAACCCCCTAACTAGGGACGTAAACCTATTTAATTAGTTAACCTATTAAATATTGTTTAATGTTGGAAGTGTGGAGGGCCACCCTGGCACAGGCTCTTCCAGCCCTGTTTGAAGTGCACCCTGCTCCAGTCCCCACTGGTTAAACTAACCAGAACTGGTAAGCATCAGCTAACCACCACTCCTGCAAAAATCTAGGTTAATGGTTTGGTGAGGCCGTGCCAATTTCACCTGGAAAAGTCTAAATTTTACAAGTTGAACTGTATAGATGCAGCCCTGTTCCTAAACACCCCCATTGATTTCAGTGGGACTCAAATAATCTTGCAGTACTGGAGCCTACTCTAGCAAGCAGATTTTGCAACTATATACTGCAGTTCTGTAACAGAAGCAACAGATGGAAAGCATGGGACACTGTAGATGAAGACTCCATAATGTCTGTGCCAAAAAAAGAACCTAGTGGTTACATGCAGCATTTCTTAGAAATGGAATCTGCACATTTCCAGTAATGGGATGCTGTGATGGTAGAACTTTTAATGGCAGTACCCATTGGATTATTTACTCCACCCCCTTCTCCCCCACTCCCTTATGATATTCCTGCGAAAGTTCTGAAGGCAAGCGTATGTTGATACAACTGGTTGCAATGATGTTGCTCTTCGCAGCTGTTTGCCTATTACATATTTAATTCTGTTTGTTAGCTCATCTGTTTATAGTCTTTTGTTAAGGATGATTGAGTTTAATGAGTGCTGCTATTTAAGTAAAATATGCAACATTCAAATTTGATTTTTATCAAGGACCATCTACGCACAATATGCCACTCATGAGTACCTACATTGTTTAGCAGTATTCTTAACATTCTGAGATTTCTCACTTTTATTAACAGTTACTTATGCAGCTATCTACTTACATTATAAAATATCTTATGGAGACTTAGACTTTTTTTTAATAGCAAAAGTGAAAACAGTCATTTAAACTTGTGAGCCATTGTTTTCATTAAAACTAGTGGCTAGACATTCTCTTTAGATGACATTACAAAGATATCAGCTCCAAAAACTATGGAGTAGCATAGCGATACTTATCCATTGTTTTCCACATTTACTTTTAAAGTAAATTGGTAGCTGTAATGATGACACAACTTTCAAAGCACAAAGTCAGTGTAACCCTCCTCTACAGTAACTTTGCCCTCTGAGCTAACTCCTACATTTCCATGGATAACTTAAAATAGCAATAATGACACTTTGAATATTAACTAACTATTTTACTGCGTACTAAAGTATGTCAGGATTATGTGATGTATTATGTAGTACAGATCTGCATTCATGTTTCTGTGTACAGGCAGTCCCCGAGTTACGCGGATCCGAGTTACGTCGGATCCGCAGTTACGAACGGGACCCGTCTCCCTGGTCTCTAGGAGACCAGGGAGAGGAAGCAAAGCAGCGGAGCACGCGGGCAGCTGACAGCCCAGACGCGTCTGGGCTGTCAGCTGCCCGCGTGCTCCGTGGCTTTGCTCCGGACACCTGTGGTACAGCATCTGGGGAGCTGCCGGTTGGTCCCGTAGCGACGCTCTGGGTGCTACGGGACCAACCCGGCAGCACCCTAGCTGCTCTGCCCCAGGCATCCTGATTCAGCCGCTGCTGAAACTGACCAGTGGCTGACTACAGGAAGCAGCTGCCCTGGGCTTCCTGGAATCAGCCGCTGATCAGTTTCAGCAGCGGCTGAATCTGGACGCCAGTTCTGACTTACATACAGATTCAACTTAAGAACCCCAGGCGTCCCCAAGTCAGCTGCTGCTGAAACTGACCAGTGGCTGACTACAGGAAGCAGCTGCCCTGGGCTTCCTGGAATCAGCCGCTGATCAGTTTCAGCAGCGGCTGAATCTGGACGCCAGTTCTGACTTACATACAGATTCAACTTAAGAACCCCAGGCGTCCCCAAGTCAGCTGCTGCTGAAACTGACCAGTGGCTGACTACAGGAAGCAGCTGCCCTGGGCTTCCTGGAATCAGCCGCTGATCAGTTTCAGCAGCGGCTGAATCTGGACGCCAGTTCTGACTTACATACAGATTCAACTTAAGAACAAACCTACATTCCCTATCTTGTACGTAACCCGGGGACTGCCTGTATATGAGCAGAGGGTGGGGAGAGACAGCTGCTCGTGAGGACTAGTCTAGGATATAAAAGACATGCATGTTAAAAGAGCTAGGCCTTAAACTATGGGATGATTGGTTTTTGTACTCCCGAAGGCCCAATTTAGTTTTCAAAAGTGGTTGCAGCCTGCTTTTTATTTTTCAAGTGGAAGATAAATCTAGTTTAAAAGTCTGGGAGCAACTAGTGAATGCAAATGCATGCTTAACACAGTTGGCCTTCACTGGGAGAAGTGCACTCATTAAGTTTTTCTACATCTATAAGAACAGGTACAATGCACCCATCTCAATTTACCGTACATGTGGAAGAGGTGAGAAAACTGTCATCTCTTCCTAACCTATAGAGAAGTTTTCAGGGGTCCAGAGCCTCAAATTTTATAGAGCACAGACTGTATGTATTGTTGGCATAATCCACTGCCTGCATATTATGAACTTCCTATTGAGAAGAGAGGTAGTTTAGTGATCATGGCTGACTCAGTCTATGGTACTTGTTGAGTTTCTGGGAGGAGCCAGCACAAACCTGTCTACATCTCAAGTCCTCTGTCCTAGTCTAAAGGGAGGACCCACTGAAACTATGGCTCAAGCAATGTTGGGGGATAACATAAAATGGGCAGGAGTAAAGGTTACAGGTTCAAAAGCAGATATCTGGTGTGGAATATTAAGCAGAGAACCTCAGACAGCACTCACTGATGCTCAAAGGGAGCCAGTGAATACAGCCCAGAGGAACTGTGTCCAGATATGCGATCTAAGGAAATAGTAGAGTAGATACAGGCTTCAGTCTCTGAGTACCTGCCTGTCTAGCATGCTCCTCCTGGTACAGTGGATGGACTTCTAGTTTCATTTTAATTGTTCAAATCAAACATTTTAATATTATGCCTCAAACTCTCTGGAGGGCATGAGGGAGGTGGTTAAAATGTATTTTGTGGGACTAAACTGCTACCAAATATTTAAATCCAAAAAGTTAAAAATTAACACTTTTTTATTTTTACAATAGTTAATTGACAAACTATTTCCAGAACTCTTATCACACACATTACTACTCAGCTTAACCTTAGCAACCCACACTTAGCCCCCTTACAGGGCTCTCACTGAGTGCATTCCAGATTTATGAGCCAAGATCAGCAAGATTGTTCTGTGCATGTTTCTAATGAACACATATCCAGTAGGAGAGATGTTTGCATGCTAAATTTCCCCAAAAATTGGGGCTGCTCACATGTGAGGGTCTGGTTCAGCTCCATATCTAGCAGTTGAAGTCTGACAAGGGGAGTTGTGTGGGAATCGAGGATTTGTGTCCACTGGCAAGCCAGACTAGTCAGGACTGCTACCTAAAGTGATTCTGTTACCGTTAGATTGAATGTAGCAGAGTGAGTGATACTAAGCAGTGGGGATACCTGAATCAATTCAGCAGAGACGGTAAGCAGGTGAGTTTGGGATCCCACGTCTCACTTGCTTGAAGTTATGGGGGCTCTCAATGAATGCAGCATGGTATTAGGAAAGGGCTAACATGGCAGGGAATGTCTTTTTTTTTCTTTTTTTTTAAGAGGGAAAAACAGAATTATGCAGCCGAGGACAGATGGCATTGGTTGTGGGGTTGGACATAATACAAGGTTCCCCTGCTGAGTATACTGATCCTCAGGATGTCAACGCAGTTTAGTAAAAAAACATTATATTATCCGGAGGGTCCTAAGGATTCATAAGTTAAAAACACTTCAATTAATTTAGTATGTCCTAATTACATTTGTAATTTAAGTAACACTTGACTTTTTCTTACCTGCCTGTCTGAACCAGTGATTCCATCCAGACAAATGTTAGTCTTCACTTTCCTCCATAGATAACTACAACAAAAATTCAGATGGTTAGAGAATTCAGGTGAGAACAAAACAAATGACCAACAAAAATATTTGAATAATTGCTGATGCAGGTGTTTTCAGCGGTTTCAGCCAGGAAATTGAATGGAAAGATTGTATTCATTTGAAACCACAGGAAAAACATAGAATGGACCATAGAGTGTCACCAATTTGTTGGCAGGAGGTGGTGCTTCAATATCAGTGGCGCAATATAGCTTAATTTAATTAATAATTGTAATGTGGCCAGGCCATAAAAAATAGAACACACATTCAAATAGTGCCAGAGGCTCTTTGATGACCAAGAGTAGCTTAGGCCTCAGTTTAGGTCTCATGCAAAAGTAACATGTATTGCAGCAGTGTGCTGGATTCTGGGGACAGGACACATATGATGGGTATTGTGTTTCTTAAATAAAACACCAATGCCCTTCAAGATATGTCTACTTATGCAGAGGATGACTTGAGTTCCACTTAAGGCTATTATGAATTTAAAAATACATGATGTGCTGTGTTAACAGCTCTTTATCTGAATGAGTTTGGAATGGTCCCAATACCTAAGAGGGGTGAATTCTCAGAGGGGCACCATCCTGAATTACACACCAGTAGAACCTTAATAGCTCACCACACCACTCATGAGCTCTGTATGTGCTTCAGATGTTTGAGAAAATGAGTTTAAAAAAAATTTAATTGAGATTATTTTTAGCACTGTTCCCTTAAAGCATGCTGCAGTGAGCCCAACTGCAACGACTCAAAAGTGGTGTAATTTTTCTGTATATATAGGTGACACAACTTTACAATGTTATGTCTCTAAACCCTGGAAGGGCAGTGCCGGTTCTGACTAAAAAGGAGAATATCTTCTTAATGGAATAAAGCTCTTTTTTTCTGCCTTTCTAGCTCAAACTTCACAGCTGTGGCATTTAAAAAATCCTGTAAATAAGGTAGAGCTGAATTTTGCTTCTCTTGGGCCTCAGATGTATAATTTGTAGCTATGAATGGTACATTTGGGGAACAAATATTAAATATTTCCCTGACATTTGTAAAAATTTTTGTCTGTTTGAAACCTCAGAATTTTGGTAAGTTAGATATCCACTCTTGACATCCAGTAAGTTAGACATCCAGTTATCACTTTAAGGGTATGTCTACACTATCCCGCTAGTTCGAACTAGCGGGGTAATGTATGCATACCGAACTTGCTAATGAAGCCCGGGATTTGAATTTCCCGGGCTTCATTAGCATAAAGCCGGCGCCGCCATTTTTAAAAGCCGGCTAGTGCAATAGTACAGATAGTACGAGGAGTACAGCTGGTTCGGAATGGCTACATAGTTCGAACTATCTAGCCCGTGCCGCGTGTAGCCGCACGGCACGGGGTTCGCACTAGCCGGCTTTTAAAAATGGCGGCGCCGGCTTTATGCTAATGAAGCCCGGGAAATTCAAATCCCGGGCTTCATTAGCAAGTTCGGTATGCATACATTACCCCGCTAGTTCGAACTAGCGGGGTAGTGTAGACATACCCTAAGTGACAGAATACCACATCCCCAGGTAAAACGTCCCAGTGGTTTTTACTCTGTTAAAAGTTTGCATTTTATTGGGCACTGGACAGACAGACACAAGATAAATGTATGACATATCTGTGCTGTTATAATTTGCCTTCAATTAATTTTATGGATCTCAGTTGGACATTCTCAGCGGTTTAAGTTTTGTGGGGGGGTGTTGGCCTGGGATGAGTGCTATGGAGGGGGAATCCTATGGTTTTCTATGCTTTACCAGCTTGCTTCTTTCAGCTGCAGTAGGGGCTGCGGCCAGGAGAAAATGGACATGGTTTGGATTTTCCAGGACTTCGGCAATCCCTATAAGAACCCTTCATGGCCTTTGGCAGGCACTGTACTTTATAGCAGTCTTCTGACTGTTCTTATACTGGAGAACTGGACTGGCACTGAATGGCCCCAAAATGAGGGGACCAAAACCATCTTTGCACATTCCCTCCTGAGCCATGCTGTGTACTACTTAGCTGAGGATCTATCTAGGCCATGTTATGTTTCAGATAATATACAGAACAACTTCTGGAAGCTACATTATGTTAGGGGATACATTCTATCTATGATAGAATTATTTTCTCCCAGGGGAATTTAATGCATGTTATGTAAAGGTGAAGTACTTCTGTTCTAAGAGAGACACATATCATTAGAACCACCATTTTCAATAGAGGTGAAATTCTGAGTGTGTTCTCGTACCCATTCCAACAGAACTTCCAGAGCAGGTCACTAGAATGAAATACAAAAAAGGTGTATAAAAGTTAAGTGTATAATTACAAGATGAAAAAATATCAATTTATATAGTTAACCTAATTGTATAATATGGCCCTATCTCATTACATTTTATTATGTTTTAAAATGTCAAATACATTTGAATTTTTAACATGAAAAACATCACTTTCGTTTAGTGCTTTCAAAATAATTCTAATATGATAGATTATACAGGAATACTGTAGACAGTTTGTTTTTATAAAGGTGGCTCATTAGGTTGATTTTGATTTTAATTAAAAAGAGCATTAAGGTATTTGAAAACCAGTCTACATGAAGAATTACATGAAAAACCAGACTCAGAAAAAAAGCAGAGATTAGTATCCATCAACCAGAACTGATCTCTGAAAGAGTAAAACATGCTGTAAAAAGCAGCTTTGTGTATTTTTTGTCATTCCTTTTCCTCTCCATGTTAATCACTAGGGCTTCGTCTTCACTGGGAGTTCTTTGGCAAAAAATATGCTAATGAGGGACTCATTAGCATAAGTCACAATCACATTAGCATATTTTCTGCCATTTATTTTTGCTCAAGGGGTTTTTACACAAGTAGTAGTAGTGTGGCTGGGGCGGGTTTTGCGCAAAAACCCCATATTGCGCAAGATCCTTATGCCTGTCCGGGACAGGCATAAGGATCTTGCACAAAATGGGGTATTTGTGCAAAAAAAACACCCCTGGTCACACTGCTACTTTTTGTGCAAAAAACCCCTTGAGCAAAAAGAAATGGCAGAAAATATGCTAATGAGATCACAAATTATGCTAATGAGCCTATCATTAGCATATTTTCTGCCAAAGAACTCGCAGTGAAGAACATAGCCTAGCATCCTGACTCAACACACATAGCCCCTTTGCTCTAATACAAATTATTGATGGGGTTGGGTCAAGAGAAGTCCATGTGATTTGAGGTTTCATTTTATTGCCAGCACATAAGCAAAAAAGGTCCTTGCTTTCAAGGCCCTAACCCGAAATGCCTTTTAGAAAATCATGTTGCAGACTATAACATATTCTTTTTGTGGGTTATGTGTTCACTCGGTATTGGGATAGAAAACTTCTGCTCCATGCTGGATCTTTGTTTCCTCTTATTCTGCAATATGCATAGACACAACTGCATGTTAGAATTTGGTGCTATAAAAGACTATACATTACACTAATGTGCATCTAACAAAACATACATAGGATATAAAACATGAAAGGACTATAATGAAGTTTTACCTGAATATATTTTTTTAGGGCAAAACGTAAGCTTTGATCCTCTCTCAGGAACTGGAGAAACTACTACCGTATAGACATCCCCACACGGTATTTCAGTGACATCACAGTAACTCAAACCTGAAATGGGGGTACAGGTGAAGTTGCCTTTTGACCCATATAAATCTGTACTATACTTTATCGACCTTGCAGAAGCTCTCCAGTGTATGCGGATGCCATTATTACCCAATCTATATAATTTCACCCCAGAAGGGCAGCAGGCACCTAATAAAGAAAAGAAAAAAGACCGTCTAAACTACAGATTATATTTGTTCTTGGAAGGAAACTATAAGTCATCTTAACAGATTTCACACCTGATACCTACATTCTAATTACAAAGGCTCACCATCTTACATAGAGTCAGGGTAATTTTATGAGGCAACGGCGGGGAATAAGAGAATGAAAATCACCTTCAAACTAGTATTTAAAACAGGGAACTGTATGGCTTTAGCAATTTCTTCAATCTCACATATAATCTTACTATGAAAACAATCTGTCTACTATACTGCAATTTTTCTTTTTAATTCCATCTATTGTTTACATACTGGAAGAGTAGTCTTGATATGTGCAGTCTGAGGTCAAACCACTTTCACTAATCACTTGCAGTGACACGGTATAGTTGGTAGCACATGTAATGCATCCCAGGAGACAGTGGTTTTGGAGAGTGTGGCATTTGATCTGTCCTTTTGGCGATTCCAGTGTTGTTACATATGTCTGTGCACCAGCCCCAACAGACCAGCTGATATTTATTATGGACTGCATGACTTGAGTTACTGTCATGTTAGTAGGGCAGCAAGGAGCTTAAAAGGAAACAAAAATGGGAGGTCAACTTTATTGTATTCACTGAGGTTCTATGCAGATAGTGTTGTAAATTATTTTGTTTTAGAAATAGCTTTTTAAAAATTTATTGAAAAACTGCCAGTTTTGTCATCCACATTTTTACTGATCTTAAGGCCTGATCCAGCTCTTGTTGAAGTCTGTCTTTTCATTAACTTTGGTGGGAGATGTGTGAAGCCCTTAGGAAGAAAAATAATCTTAATAGCCATTAAAAAAAGAAAACTAAATCCTTTTTAGCTAATGTTACCAAAATAGTTAGATATTAAACTTCAGCATGCCCAAGTAGCTAACATCTAATACAAAAAATACCAGGATAATATAAATGATTTATTATTTTTTTAGCCATTGTGTGACAGTTGATAACCCAGGATCATTATGTGAAGATTGTTTCAGCTAGTAGATCTTGGTAATAAAAATAAATGTCTACAATGCATCATCAGAATCTCAGTGGTTTTGTCATTCACATTAAGGATCGAAGTGCTGACAAGAAAGCCATGCATTGCATAAAGAGATTATGCCAGTGTATCTTAATTAGTAGTGACTCAGGAAACATAAGTGCTTGTATTAGGGCTTATCAACAGGATGCAGCTACTAAAAAGTAATGATTTCTCTGTCATATACACACATTAAAGCTGATGTCATTCCAGAGTAATACATGTAGATACACTGTGAAAAAAACACACATGGACATAGAGAGACACACACTTAGCACAGTATTATAAATATACGAAAAAGGTTATACTTTCAATTACATATTGATCCCCACATACCTGTCTCTAAAGGGACACTAGAACTAGGTAAGCTCTGCCCTGCTGTTGTACTTGCCACAGCACTAATAGAGAATACTGATCCACAGGGAAGATCAGTTATGCTACAAGAATTTCCAGAGTTTGTGCAATGCCATAATCCAGTTTCTCCTCTAGCAGTAACAGTGTACATAGCTTCATCATTATTGGCTTGCCAGTGCACACTAATTATGGAAAGATCATCCTTTGAGATGTTTTTTATTTCAGGACTGCACGGAGCTGAAAGATTTAGAATGAAACAGTTTTTAGATGCGTTTTCAGTACATAAATTCCGTTTTACATTGTTTACAATGTCAGTAACTGCAGATTATAATAGATATTTGACAAACTAAGATTTAGTGACATTCTATTTAATAATTTTTGACTAATTTGGAACAGTTTATGAGCATAAACTTTAAAAGGGTTTAATAGGCAAAAACTCTTGAAAAACTGAAACGTTAAGGTTTTGCATACAAAGATATATATGGAAATCAAATCTCATTTTCAGATGTGCTGATTACCTAACGGATTCCAATCTCGTCACTTATTAAAGTTCCTGGTTATGAATGTAGGAATCTTATCTTAGGCACCCATTTTTAAAAATCTTGATTAGATTTTCTTTTTGTTGTGACTATGGATTATAATAACTTTACTTAGCACTCACATTTTTTTCTCTTTCAAAGCAAATTAAGACTTCTATCTAGTAACTACAATGAAAACAACTAATTATTTTGCATGATATGTGAAAAAAATAACCTTATACCTGTTGCCACATATTTGGAACTGCATGATGTATTGCTGCCTCTGATTTCATTGAAAGAATACACAGTGATGTTATATTGTGTGTTACAATGCAATGCAGACAGGATGCAAATTGTGGCAGTGTCATTACACAGTACTATACCAATCCCATCAACAGCTTTTGTTTCATACATTTCAGCACCACGGACAGGAGACCAGACAATCTCAACTGTATTACTGGATACAAACACTGGGTAAAAGTCGCTGGGGCAACAAGGTGCTAAAAAAGGCAAAACAGAGAGGAAATGTCAACAGCACTAATGAACTGAAATATACTAGATATTAAATAGGATAGTGACTTGTTTACACAAACACCTCTTATGTGAAATCTCCATTATCAAAAAATGAATTATGTTCTCCACATTGAAGTCCTTCATTTATCCAAAACTTAATCTAGCCAAATAAGTGACATGTCACACATCTTATCTGGATAAAGAGAATTCTGTTGCATACTCTTTCTATAATAAAAAGTAGATTCTCATGTTTTTAAAGCAAGGGTGGGCAAAATGTGATCTGTGGGCCGAATCTGGCCAGCCAAACCACCAGTCCTAGCCCACCGCCACTCTCCCTGTGGCCCGGTGGGAGCCTCCCAGGCATCCTGCCTGCTCCGTGCCTGCATGCCACTCAAAATGACCAGCTATGGTGGCCATGTGCCCTGCATGCTGCAAGCCCCGGAGAGAACTTTGTGTGATGCCCCCACACCCAGCACAGTCTTGCAGCTCTCGCTGGCTGCCTGGGCCATGCTTGCTGCACAGGCAGTGCACAAAGGGCTCCTGCTCCCTCAAGAGACATGCAACAAGCACACGATCCCCATAATTAGATGCTTTGAGCCTGCCTGAGGGACCTGTCGGGCTCCTGACTGAGAGCTGCCTAAGGTAAGTGTCTCCCACCCAGAGCCTCCATCTCGCACTCTTCTCTCCCCACAACCTTTTGCCCCTGCTCTTGCACCCTTGCCCCAGATCACAACTCAAACCCATACTGCCTCCCAGACGCTGCACCTCAATCCCCTGCCCCACATCATAACCCCCTCCCAGATCCTGTACCTCCTCCCACACTCCTTCTCCAGGTCAACATCCTCTCCTGTAGCCATATTCCCCACCCCATTCCTCTGCCCCAAGTTATAACCCCCTTCTTCACTCAAACTCCCTCCTAGACCCCTCCTGCACCTCAGTGTCAACCTCCACCACCTCCGCTAATATCATGGAAGAATTTAGTCCTTGACCATGTACCAAATTCTTGGAGTGGCCCCCCATCAAAAATTATTGCCCATCGTTGCTTTAAAGTCCTTACAATAGCAGTTAGTAATAATCCATTTGAAATAATACTGTACTCTTATGTTGAACCGTCTATTTTAGGTTCTCCAAAATGTACAAGTCACTTAACTAAGAATCATATCCAGTATTTTCTCATTTTATACATGGTGAAACAGGCACAGGGAAGGTTAGGTACTTATCCAAGATTACACAGCAAAGCTATGGCAGAACCAGGATTAGAATCCACATATCTTGATCCCAGTCCTATGCATCCCCATTTTTGAACATGTTTTAGAATGATCAAATGATCAAGCCTTTTAATTTATAAACTGGTGTCAGACTTGACTGATAAACTGAGTCAAATAAACATTGGCTACAATTTAAACTTTAACCCTTTTCTGTTTAAAAAAATATCTTTTCTAAAGTACCGGTTATCATTAATTAGGGCTGGTCAAAATTTTTCATCAACATTTTTTCCAATGGAAAATTGGGTGTCTTAATTTTTTGTGACAAAAAAAATTCTGCATACATTTTTGACTTTTTGTTGAAAAACTGAACACCAAACCTTGGAAAAAAAATTTCCATGAAAATACCACCACAGTGCCTCATGCTCCCATTTGCCTTTATAGACCAAGTTCTCCAGCCACTCTACATCTCCCACAACACACCAGGAACAGGGACTTTGAAGGTGTACTGTAGTAAATCAGAAAAGAGAGGAGAATGTGGTATATTATGGAACATAAAGTCCAGCCAGGGAGCCTAGTCTATACAGGAAAATGGGAACATTTGGCATTGCATGACAACTTCCATGGAATACCAATGCAGCATTTCCAAATCTAAACTTAAAAATTTTCTGCACAAACTTATGGGGTAGCAGTCAAGCATTTTCAGATTTCAATTTCTTGCCAAAAGTGGATATTTTCTTCAGGAAAAAAAAAACATTTTCCAACAAGGTCTGTTTTTAATACTACTAAGAGAATCACCAAATATATTTGCATAAACAAAGTGCTACTTACCAGTAGTATAATTGAATACATCCCCTAAAGGACTTTGTCCTGCCTTGTTATATGCAAAGACACTAATGAAGTAGGTGAAACCACAGTCTGATTGGAACTGGCACTGGGTATGTGATGTGTTGCAGTGTACTTCCAAGCCATCATCACTTTTCACAAAAACCACATAATAATCTCCAAGATCTACATTAGACCATGACACTGACAAATCACCAGGACTGTCCTCTTTGATTGTTATACTTCCTGGTGCACAAGGGACTGGGAAATCAAATTTAAAACAGAAAGGGGGGAGGAAGGTTACAACTGTACTTCCAGGATTTTATTTAGGCAACATTTTTACTATACAAATATCGATGAAAGATACATAGAATTTGCCTGATATGTTTAGTTTGAATAGCTAGTACATGTCCAGTTTAAAAAAGATCAGCTCATCTGGATTTATAAGGATACTGAATATGTGGTTATTTTAATATGTCACTTGTACACCATAGCTACGTCTAGACTGGCATGATTTTCCGGAAATGCTTTTAACGGAAAAGTTTTCCGTTAAAAGCATTTTCGGAACAGAGCGTCTAGATTGGCACGGACGCTTTTCCACAAAAGCACTTTTTGCAGAAAAGCGTCTGTGTCAATCTAGACGTGCTTTTCCGCAAAAAAGCCCCGATCGCCATTTTCGCGATCGGGGCTTTTTTGCGGAAAACAAATCTGGGTTGTCTACACTGGCCCTTTTGCGCAAAAGGACTTTTGCCCAAATGAGAGCAGCATAGTATTTCCGCAAGAACACTGACAATCTTACATGAGATTGTCAGTGCTTTTGCGGAAATTCAAGCAGCCAGTGTAGACAGCTGGCAAGTTTTTCCAGAAAAGTGGCTGATTTTCTGGAAAAACTGGCCAGTCTAGACACAGCCCATATGAAAATATGAGTGTGTAAAGAGTAAAGGCATGAACAATTTACAAAACTTCTGTAGAACAAAGTACACATTATTTCAGTCACATGCATGAAAAAGATCCCATGTTAAGGGCCACACATAAGTGGCCGCACAGGCATTATGTTGTATTTCAACAAGGAAGCGGAATATCCTATATTAGCAATTTGTGGGTTTGGGTAGCATTCAGCAAAATGGGTTGAATAACGGTTGGCAAGGGATGTCCTGAATGCACGAACACCTTGTGTAACTGCCCCAGATGAGTTGTTGACTTTGGTCTTTTTGCTTAGGTTTCATTTTATGGCAGCATCCAAAATAACCCTAACAAATAAGTATCATGTAAGAACAACGAGAAGTCCTGTGGTATCTTAGGGTATGTCTACACTGCCACCCTAGTTCGAACTAGGGTGGCTAATGTAGGCATTCAAACTTGCAAATGAAGCCCAGGATTTAAATATCCTGGGCTTTATTTGCATGTTCCTGGGCACTGCCATTTTTAAATGCCCCGTAGTTCGAACTCCCTGCTCGCGGCTACACGCGGCATGGACTAGGTAGCTCGAATTAAAGCTCCTAATTCGAACTACCGTTACTCCTCTGCACTTGTCCAGGAGGATGCCCACTGTCTCCCGCCCCTGGCTGGCTCCTGGGAGCTGGGGGACTGGACGGGGGACAGCAGGATGGCACTGGCTGCCCGGCTCATTCTCTGGCCACTGGGTGAGGGGCAGCGACTGCTGGCAGGCCTGGCTCTGGCATACATTGTGGCCAGAGTCTATCCCTTTAAGGGCTCCAGGGCTGGAGGAGAGAACAGTTTTCCTGGTTTGACCCAGAGTGGCCACCAGAGGAAACTGGGAAGGGCTGGAGGCCCCCTATTTTGGAATAAGTGTCTACACAGCACTTATTTTGAATTAGCTATTTCGAATTTGGCGTTATTCCTTATAGAATGAGCTTTACCAAATTCAAAATAAGCACCCCGCTATTTCGAATTTATTTCAAAATAGCAGTTTACCTATGTAGACGCTATTCAAGTTAATTTGAAGTAACAGCTGTTATTTTGAATTAACTTTGGTGTGTAGACAGACCCTAACAGATTTATTAGTGCGTAAGCTTTTGTGGGCAAAGACTCACTTCGTCAGATGCATGTAGTGGAAATTCTAGAGTCAGGTATAAACATACAGGCATAAGAAAAGAGTTCCAATCAAGAGTAAGGCTAGAGACAACGAGGTCAATTCAGTCAGGGAGGATGAGGCCCACTTCTAGCAGCTGATGTGCAGGTGTGAACACCAAAAGAGGAGAAACTCCTTTTTTTTTGTTTGCTATCTATTCAGTCTTTGTTTAATCCTAAGGGTGAAAGCCTGCTGTCATTTCTCAGTCAGACTCCCCTAGATTGCAGGAAAAACTGGACAGTCCCTACGTAAAAAAATAATCGGACACAAATCAGATATCAGGAATGGCAATACACAAAAACCTGTAGGAGAACACTTCAATCTCCCGGGATACACAGTAGCAGATTTAAAAGTAGCCATCCTGCAACAAAAAAACTTCAAGAACAGACTTCAAAGAGAAACTGCAGAGCTACAATTCATCTACAAATTTGATACCATCATTTTAGGATTAAACAAAGACTGTGAATGGCTAGCTAACTACAAAAGCAGTTTCTCCTCTCTTGGACTGTGTCTGGACTACATGGCTCCATTGACAGAGCCATGTAGAATAGGGTTGTAGGCAAAGGGAAATGAAGTGGCGATTTAAATAATCGCCGCTTCATTTTAATTTAAATGGCTGCCACACTGAGCCGACAAGCAGCTGATTAGCTGTTTGTCAGCTCAGCGTGCTAGTCTGGACGCTCAGCGGTCGACATCAAAGCCCTTTGTCGACTGCCCCGTTATTCCTCGTGGGATGAGGTTTACCGGGGCAGTCGAAAAAGGGCTTTGATGTTGACCGTGGAGTGTCCAGACTAGCGTGCTGAGCCGACAAACAGCTGATCAGCTGTTTGTCGGCTCAGCGCGGCAGCCATTTAAATGTAAATGAAGCAGCGATTATTTAAATCGCAGCTTCATTTCCCTTTGCCCAATAAAGAAATCTACATGGCTCTGTCGACAGAGCTATGTAGTCTAGACATACCCTTGGTGTTCACACATCCACATCAGCTGCTAGAAGTGGGCCTCATCCTCCCTGACTGAATTGACCTTGTTATCTCTAGCCTTACTCTTGATTGGAACTCTTTTCTTATGCCTGTATGTTTACACCTGCCTCTGGAATTTCCACTACATGCATCTAATGAAGTGGGTCTTTCCCCATGAAAGCTTATGCTCCAATAAATCTGTTAGCCTATAAAGTGCCACAGGACTTCTCGTTGTTCTTGCAGATTCAGACTAACATGGCTACCCCTCTGATATAAGTATCATGTAGTTCATTGATTTAATAACACTTTCCCTTTCCCTTCTTGGTTCAGGGGTTTATGCTGCAAGCAAGAAATTCGGTATAATGGTGCCTCTCTAGCTGGGAATAGAAATTTGTCAATCCTGCCATCAACCAATTTTGCATCTTCCTCCTTCTCCTCCTCTTCATCAGTGTTTGAGGGAGGAATGTGAATGAGTAGTCAAGCAGCTGATTAATTGATAAGCCTACCCCCTTTTGCTACCTCTGATACAGAGGCAGCAAGAAATGATAGAAAGCAGGAGATGGTGCTGGGAGGAGCTAGCTTAAAAGCCAGTTGCACCAGCTCCGTAATGCCACCTGCACGCCTCCCCGTGCTGCTGCATCTATTAGAGGCACCAGCGCAGGAGTAGGGCAGAGACTGCTTAGCAGCAGCAGCCCCTGTCAGTGGGGGAGGAGGGTCCGAGCTCCCCAAGGACAGAGGCTGCTTTGTGGCAGCCTCTCCCACCCTCTCACCCCCCTGCAGCCTCTATCCATGGGGAGCTCAGCCCCCCTGCCATAGACAGGGGCTGCGGTGACCCCATGTTGCTGCCTGTATATCAGAGGTTTTTTAAAAAAATTGGTTTTTAAATGGGCTCCCCTCACAGACTGACTTCTGCCTGGCACCCCACGCTGCTGCCTCTGATACAGCTGCTCCCCTTGCCTCCCAGGTACTATAGAATCGCCAACTAACTACTAAAAATCCATGTGATTAGTCAACTATTCTATTGCCCACAATCTAACATCCCTAGTGAGACAGCACACAAAAGCCCACTCAAGGCTCCATTGTGGTCAGCAATATACAAACAGAAAAATATGGTCTTTGATGTAAGTGATCCCTGACAAAAATAACAGGACTACTGGAGGTCAGACCTGGGTTTGTTGGCAGAACTTTATAATACTTTGTATTTGACAGCATATTTCTGAAGAATTTTAATTCACTTGTGGATGGGTCTCCCAGGCAGCGGGGTTCATTTGTGCTTAGGTCCCCGTGTTAGCTTGGGGCCTGGGGTGTAGGACTTCTGGATGCTTATCAGAGTCTGTTCCTTCAGTTTGGGGCGTGGCCCCAAGAGTCCAACTTCCTTCTGGTTCTCCCCCTTTGCACCTGAGGGAGGGGTTGGAGGCTTATGTCCTCCTGCGGCCAACTCAGCAGACAGCTCTGGCTCAGGTCCTACAGACGGCAGAATCTGCTCCTGCCTGTTTGCTGGTCAGCCTCTAACTGAGCCAGGTTCCCTCCATTTATTCTCCCTCCAGTCCTGGCATTGGCTGCAGGTAAAACAGGGTGGGGCTGATTGGGCAAAAAGGCCTTGTTTAGCCCCTGCACTGCCAGGCCCTCTTCTCACTCCCTCACACCACTTTTCTAATATGCTCACATTAACGCACAAAATGAGCTCAATCTAGTTAAAGACAAAGGGTAACATGAAAACATTCTACAAATATATTAGAAGCAAGAGGACAGGCATAAGAATCTTGTGCAAAATGGGGGTTTTGCACAAAATGGAAGCAGCTACACTGCTTCTTTTTGCTCAAAAACCCCTTGCGCAAAAAGAAACGGCAGTAAATATGCTAATGATGTCATGACTTATGCTAATGAGTCCCTCATTAGCATATTTTCTGCAGCAAAAACTTGAGTGTAGACAAAGCCTTTGAGTATTGTGTCCAGTTCTGGGCACCATATTTCAGGAAAGATGTGGAGAAATTGGAGAAGATCCAGAGAAGAGCAACAGAAATGATTAAAGGTCTAGAAAACATGACCAATGAAAGAAGACAGAAAGAAGTGGGCTTGTTTAGTTTAGAAAAAGAAGACTGAGAGGGGACATAATAGTCATTTTCAAATATCTAAAAGGCTGTTACAAGGATGAAGAAAAACAATTGTTCTCCTTGGCCTCTGAAGACAGGACAAGAAGCAATGGGCTTAAATTGCAACAAGGGAGGTTTAGGTTGGACATTAAGAAAAACTTCTTAACTGACAGGGTGGTTAAACACTGGAATAAATTGCCTAGGGAGGTTGTGGAATCTCCATTACAGGAGATATTTAAAAGCAGGCTGGATAGACATCTATCAGGGGTGATCTAAATCAGGGCTAGTCAACACGCGGCCTGTGGGCCGCATGCGATCCGCCACGGTGCAGTATGGGTTTACACAGGGCTCAACACTTGGCCCATGGGAAGGAACCAAAACAAAAAGGTAGTCAATATAATGGTCTTCTGTTGATATATATGTGTGTTAGTAGTTAAATTCCTGGACTGTCATTGCTCATTAAAAGTGCTGTCATATGGGTGGAAATCGGGTAACTATTGCATTTTATTAATATCAGCAGAACTGACTTAGATGGGGCCCGTGTGTTGTGTAGGATTGCATGAATCTTTGTATTCATGTCCGTCAGTATGAAAGAAGTGCGTTGCGTAGCTTTCTGCATGTAGATGTAACCACACTTAAGTTGCGACCATTGGTATGTACTGTGAGTATCAATGTGTCCCCCAAGGCTTCCAAAGTTGAGTAGCTTTATCTAAATGATGCTTGGTCCTGCTTTGAGGGCAGGGGATTAGACTTGATGACCTCTCAAGGTTCCTACCTGTTCTAGTATTGTATGAATCTATGATCCTAGAAGTCTTACAAACACTCCTTTGCAGTACATTAGGGTAACATGTCATCATTATAAACTGAGGCACAAATAGGTTACATGATTTCCCCAAGGTTGCAGAGCAGTCATGAGCAATAATTTTTAATGGGAGACCACTTCAAGATTTTGGTAAGTGGTCAAGGGCTGCACTTCTGTGGAGGGGGTGCAGGGTCTGGGACAGTGGGTGGGGAGTAGAAGGGAGCTTGGGATAGAGAACAGGGGTGCAGGAGTGAGTGTGGGGTCTGAGAGGGAGTTTGGGTGAAGGAAGGGGTTATAATATGGGGCAGAGAGCTGTGGTGCAGGGTCCAAGAGGGCTTATGGGTGCTAGAGAAGATTCTGACCTTGGGAATGGGTGTAGAAAGGGGTGCAGGATCTGGGAGGGAGTTGTGATCTGGGAGAAGGGGGAAAATGGGTACAGAGGGTTTGGGCAGTGACGTAGGACGGGAATGGAGTGTTGAATCAGGGAAGTTGTATGGGTGCTAGAGAGGATTCTGGCCTGAGGGAGAGTGCAGGAGGGGGTGCAGTGTTTGGGAAGGAGTTGTTACCTGGAGGAGGTGGGGAGAGGTGATACAGAAGTTTGGGTGATGGCCTGGGGCAGGCAGTTAAGGGTAGAGATAGGGTGGGTTTCCAGAGGTAGGCTCTAGCTGGGAGGTGTCCACCTCCCAGTGGCTCCCAGCCAGCAGCTCTGCAGACTCCATGCCCATGTGCTAGGTGAGCTGCTCCACGTGCCTCTGCTCCAGCACAGACAGGGAGGAAGGGGGCTTCATTCACTGTCCCTCCCTTGAGCAAAATTTCTCAGCTCCTATTGACTAGAAACTGGCCAATAGGAACTTGGGAAATTTACTAGAGAGCGGGAACAGCGTGGGAAACTTTCTCCTCCCTGCCTGGCTTGCAGAACAATTAGCAGCTTGCTCCCACTCTGTAGTAAGGGTGCCAGCAAGGCAGCTGCAAGCCGGATTCGGCAGCTTGGTAGGCTGAATCCAGCCCGATAGCTGCCTCTTGCTCACCCCTTTTACAGAGAGAGTCTATGACAAAAACAGGAACAGAATACAGGTGTCAGACTCATAGTCTTGTGCCTGAACCACAAGATTATCCTCTCTCACTCAGTATGGGGTAGCTTGTACACCATCTACTTATGCTCGGCAAATTCTCCTTTTACTTCCACCAGTTTTAGACTGGTGTAACTCTAGTGACTTCCTTGGAGTTGCTTCTGATTCTCACTTGTATAAGAGGAAAATCAAGCCTCTTGTATCTGCTGACTAAATATGCCATTCTTATATTAATCCAAAGAAATAAAAATAAAGTGAGCACTGGATTCAGAGGGTGTGAAGTTATTGGATTTTAATATAAACATGCAGATCACTGTTGCACTCCCTGTTGTGTGTTTGCTCCCAAATTCTGGGCCGATTGAGGTGTCTATTGAAATCTTATGCTTATCTGCTTCTGTTTATGCAACTCATATGCCTATATTATTGTTGTATGTGATATTATGAATGGTGGCTCTGTACTGGTATTTTAAATGTTTGCTTCTGGCGCTGCACATGCGCTGACCATGCTGCGTGGCTGCGCTGGCTTGTAATCTACTTGCCACGGGCAAGTAGATTACATTCTGGCGCTGCACATGCGCTGACCATGCTGCGTGGCTGCGCTGGCTTGTAATCTACTTGCCACGGGCAAGTAGATTACAGTAATTGTTGAGCCCTGGCAGAAGGTATTGCCCACCTAATGTGAGGGATGGCTACTCAGTGAATAGCTGTAATTCATGGACAATGGCTTTTAAGTTTTGCCATTCAACACCTAGGCTATGTCTAGACTGCCCCCTCTTGAGGAAGAGAATATGCAAATGAGGTGAAGTGGTGAATATCACCACACCTCATTTGCATACTTAATGAGCCACCATTTTTGCACAAGGGGCTTTTGCGCAAAAAAGAGCCGTTTACTCTTTTTTGCGCAAAACCCCCCTCTTGTGCAAGAGCCGTTCTGCCACTTTTTTTCAGGAAGAATGGCTCTTGCGCAAAAGGGCAGCTCATTAAGTATGCAAATGAGGCACGGCAATATTCACCACCACCTCATTTGCATATTCTCTTGTGCAAAGGGGGCAGTCTAAATGTCGACCTGAGGAATTCAGCTGCAAACCTGTAGACCAGCAGGTATGCCATGGCTGTTTGTCTAAAAAAGGACCATGGATAGGTGACTTGCTCATGTGACAAACTCCATTTTGGGAGGTACCATCACACAGGAGAACAATGGAATTCCCTCCACATGAGCAAAATTATAAAAGGGGACTTAGGGTTTCTCCACATTTGTCTTCACCCCTTCTCTTCACTTCACTGCTCTTTACTTGCTGTGGACAAGAGGCCCAGAAGGATTTGTTGACCTATCCTAATCAAAGATGTACTCCAGAGACTTTTAAGATAGCAGAGATGAAATAAGCTGCTAAAAGCCTGCATCAGGAAATGCGATTTCTTTAACAATTTCTACTCTCAACCTTTTCTTTTTTAATTAATAAACCTTTAGATTTTAGATTCTAAAGGATTGGCATAGTGTGCTCTTTTGGGTAAGATCAGAGGCATAGATTGACCTGGGAATGTGGCTGGTCCTTTGGAATCAGTAGAACCTGTTCAGATTTGGTGAGATTGTTTTTCATAATCTCTCATCTGGGTAAGGTGCAGTGCTGCTTGTGATACAGGTAAAGCTAGAGTATCTTGCTTCTTGCTGGCCAGAGTGGCAGCTGAAGTGCTCTATGTAACTCATTTGGTGTCTTATAGAGGAGGACCTCCAATCTTGGGCTGTAAGTAGCCTTGTTTCTAAGCAATTTGCTCTAATTTGACCCTCTCAACAGTGCCCCAGACAACTGTCATATTACAGAGAACAAGAGTGAAATTTCGTACATAAAGTACAAAAGTTTCAGAATACACACTATTAAGTGCCACAATAACATGATAGCCACAGAAACAGATGGTTTTTTCAACACAAGGATTAATTTTCTTATAAAAGAAACACAATATGTTAATATTTAACAGGAGCAACAGAAACTCCATTGGAGGTAATGAAGAAGATGCCTATAATATCCCCTTCACGAAAGAACTTGAAACCAACCCCCCAAAAGAAGATGATATAGGCTAAAAAGGGGTCATACTCAGAGAAAGGGATGAACTGCTACTAATCAACCCATAAGGAAATTTAAATTGACTGTCCCTGGAATAATCACTGGGTGGGCAATGGTGGTAAAACAATGCCTGCCCTTTTCTGGGGAGAAATCCCCAGGAGATGCAAGAAGCCAGGCTAATGAAGATACGTGCAATTTGTATCATCTGTCAATATAAAATTGCTGATTGCCCCAAACTTTCAAATACATAATAATTGAAAAGCTAGAGATAAAACAATATGTTTATAAAAACACGATGGAGCAGATTCTTCTCTGTGTTACTTTACTTTGGTAGAGATACTTGAGATTTATACTGGTGTGTCTTGGAACAAAATACAATTAAATTTATTTTAAAAATATTTTTTCCATAAAGTAAAATGCAGCAGTGAAACAGTGTTTCAGTGCACTGTTTTATGGATACATTAGTACTTAAAAGAATTCTGCAATGGACTACCAGGAGGAGGCAGTTTATATATATAATAATGAAATCCTTTCAAATAAGATGTGAGTGTAATACCACGTAGAGGGCAGGCATTGACAGTACTTAACTGTTCTGAAATATCTTACTGAATGATTTGTAGAACACATTCCCCTGAGACAATTTAATATTAAGCTAAAATGTAGGTAACTTTTGCTTTCTTCTCTGATTTCTTGGCAAAAAAGAAATAGTATTATGAGTTATACAACAGTTGTTTTAGCTCACATACCAGTTCTTAAACTCACTGCGTCTGTAGGTTTACTGGATCCCGCACCATTATTTGCTACAACATAAACAGAGTACTCAGATCCACAATGGAGTGAAGCCAAAGTGCAGGAAGTGGAAGATGTGCTACAGTTCAGATTGGAGGCTTCACAACTGGCTGTCACACTGTAATTTAAAGTCCCCTCTGTCGGCATCCAAGAAACAGTGGCTCTCAAAGCTCCACTATCAAAAGCAACTTGAATATCTGATGGTGCATGAGGACCTACATTATTTAGAAAGAACTGTAAATACACTTATGCTACCTCTAAATTACCGTAGAAAGTCGACCTAAGTCGACCTTCAGCTATGTGAACAACATACGTCATTTTACCACAGAATCTACACCAAGTGGGGGGGGGGGCAATGGAAGAAACTCACTCATCAACTTCACTTACTCTTCTTGTCTGGGGTAGAGTAGAGCAACTGCAGAGCAATTTGCGATTGATTTGGTGGGTCTTAACTAGACTCACTGAATCGACTACCAGTGGATCAAATCTCAGAGCATTGATCTAAGGATGTAGTGCAGACACAGGCTTAGTACAGTAAAACCTGTGTTATCCAGCACGCTCGAGGATTAGGGCGTTCCGGTTATCTAAAAATTCCGGTTACCTGAGGGTCCCATCAACCTACGAAAAACTAATGGACAATAATAGTAAAACTCAAGTTTTTAATATTGGTAGTTTTGTAGTGTGAGGCAGTTGGTCTCTCATTTCTATTTTGAGTCAAAGATAATTAGTACTTCTCAAATAAAAAAAATGTTAAGCCAATCATAGTAAACCAAGACAGGCCTGTGCACCTGAAGATGTGACAGTATTGTGGCTGGGGGCATTGCTGGTTAACAAAGTTTCCTGGTTAACAGAGTGCCAGATAACAAAAGTTTCACTGTATCTGGCTTGTTATAAAGATGATCCTCAACCAGTACCTGGAATCCAAACATCCCCAAATTTTGGAAAATGTTACATCCAAGCATAGACCCTAATTTTTGTGGCATAGACCCCAAACATCTTATACCTATTACAGTTATACAGAACTTTTTAAACAATTGCTCTGATATTAATATTCAATGGAAATGTTTGTATTTATATAAATATTAATGGACATGTCCTATGCTCTTTTTCTCAGTTTTTGGTCTGGCAAAACCTCAAGTGAAATCAATAGTAGATGTGCCTAAAATGCACAGTTTATAAAATTTGGCCCATATCCTCTAGAATATTTCCTGAGCCTAGAACTGGCATAAATTGCTATACCTCCATTTGAACAATGTCTCGTCAAAAACACACATAACTTATAATTTTATACTAAGTTTGGTTCAAGAAAATAGTTCTTACTTGTTATTTGGTTGTATGTAAAATCATCTCCTGGTATTCCATTAACATTCCAGGCATGTGCCTTGATGGTATAAAGAGTTCCTGGATCTAGACTGGTAAACACCAAGGAGGTTTGGGTGGTGTTCTCTTTCATCATGCTGCCTAAACCATCTGATCTCATGATGGACACAGAGAATCCAACTGCCATATTTACAGCTTCCCACCTCACCACTATGGAGTCGTAACTTGGAGAACTTACAGACAGGACTGGTGCAGCCAAGACTGTTAATTACAAATATACATTAACTATTGGGATTTCCATTAATAGCTGTGCTGTCTAAAAGTTAGAAAAGTCAAATTCAACATAGGGTAAACAGAATCAACTATATATGCCATAAAGAGATTTAAATATTTTATTGGTACTGCTTTATATTCTTCTCCCTGTGAGCCTAGACTATCAATTGACCAATTGTCTAGGCTTTAGAGAAAAATCATAACTCGCACACTTAAGAAATCTATAAAATTTACTCAGTATAACTTATCTATTCATAAAAATGTTCTGATTTTAAGGCCCAATCTCAATGCTGGGCCCCACAGGCAGACTGGGAATCTCTGATTCCATTTCTAGTCTTGATGGGACATTAGATATATTAGACTTTATCATTAGTCCAGGCCTGAATACTGCTCATGTTGAGTCAAAGCCAAATTTTGAGACTGTCCAAATGTGAGTGATAAATGCAATGTATTAGATGGCACAATAATCTATTAACTGAGTAACCACTACATGCATGGGCCTATGTCTACTTTCACTTAAATAGCACCTTCCACTCAAGAAGGGTAAAGTTTTTTGAAAAATTGAGACTTTATGTCATGCTCCACATTATATACAGATGAGAAATGAAAGTATAGAGAAGTTAAGTACAGTCGCAGAACAGAGAACTGAATTCAGAAATCCAGTCCCATGCATTGCCCATGTGGCCACTACATATATATACACACATATATATTGCTGAACACTGCAATGACGATATATTCAATATTAAAAAATACAAGATTGCACTAATTCCTCACCAGTAAATGCCTGAATTATTTTTACTTTCTGTACCGGAATTGTAAAAGATAGAAAATTCCATGATCCATATGCATATATATTATGCACTGTACAGTAGTAATATGACAGTTGCTATATAAAATCAAAAGCTACCTGTCTTTGCTTTCTTTGAAGGTGAAGGCAGGCTTCTTCCTCCAGAGTTGATAGATCTGATGGTAATTTTATACAGTGTAGCAGCCTTCAGTCCTGTCACTGTACCTGGTGAATTTATGACTGTATTTTCAATTAAAGATTCTCCATCCTGTGCCGTCAGTAGATAACTAGTAGCCCCAGGAACAGCTGCCCATTCCACTGTGATACTGTTGCTCAATTTTGAATAAGCTTGATCTATAACAGGTATCTCAGGTGCTAAAAATGAAATTATGGTAAATTCAAAATCCCTAATCATGTTTAAATATAATGACCTCTGCTGTTAGGTGCTGAGTACATTGAGCATTTTGCAGAAGGAGCTCAGGACAACCGGGATATAATTTCCTGGATACTTCTAATTTTACATGTGTAAATCAAATAGCAAATTTAAATCGCGTACAAATATAATTGGTTTAATTTGTGCCATGAAACAAAAGAAGTGTTTGTTCAGTGTCAACTGTGCAGTTAGAAATGAAAAACTGCATATATTTAGCACTGATGATATGCAATTTATATATATCTTCAGATTACTCTTCAAAGGGAAATAGTGGTACATTAACCAATTCATCTGGTTTGACTTTGGAGAATGGTTGCTTTGTGTAGTCCCTTGGGTAGTTCCTATCCTGCAAATTTGTCATTCATCTCTGTACCTTACTGACTAATGGTGCTGGGTTTTGGTCTCTCGAAATCTGAACTATATCAACTTTATTTTATCTAATCTAATGTAATCCATCATGTGCCTAATGACAAAAACCTGCCAGAAAATTAAATATTTTAAAGGCTTTCAAAAGTGGTCCAAATTAATCATTGACTTCATTAGAGAAGCATCAGCGATAGACTTGGCCTCGCATGGCTTCAAGTCACCAGAATATTGTATAGTCTCTTCCCCAAACTGATTATCTTTTAAATTGAAGAAGAGGAGATGCTAAGCTACCTAGATATAACACTCCCAACCAAACTTCAGAAATCAGGAATTTGGGCCTTAAATAAGTACATATAGCAGGTTCAACATGTTATAAGGCTACAAAAGAACAAAAAGAGCAGGAAACCTCACAAAATGGATGGAAGAGATCCAACTGCACTAAATGTAAAGTGAAAAAAAATCCAAAATGGAAGCATGCACTTGGAATACAACTACCATTTTCAAGGCAACTAACCTACTAGTTCAGAGACTTTGGAAGCATTCTGGGAATAATATTTCACAGGTATGAACTCTTGAACGAGGGATGTTAGTGACTAGTCAAGTAGCGACTCAACTAGTTGCTCCGCCTCCCCATCCCTTGCTGTGTCTGTCAGAGAGAGGCAGCAAGGGTTGGAGGAGCAGGGCCAGAGCTGAGGGGAACTGGCTTAAAGCTGGTTTCCCCCAGCACTGGCTCCATGGGGGACAGCGGAGGCAGAAGCACAACAGGAAAATGGCTCAACCCATTCCCACTGCTGGCGCTTCTGCTTTTTAAATGCACAAGAGCTCTCCGAGACTCTTGTACATTTCAAAAGCAGTAGTGCCACAGGGAGCATGGGGTGAGCAGGGACTCAAGCGGTCCCCACTCACCCCATGCTCTCTGTGGCACCCCCCATAGAGGCAGCAAAGGGAGGGGGACAGGAGTCTGTGCTGAGGAGACCCAGCTTAAAAGTCAGTTCCCCCTAGCAGAGTCTCTGGGGTGCCGCCTGCCCCCCCACTGGCTCTATCAGAGGCAATGTAGGGGATGGGTGGGACTGCTGGTGGGCTCCCCTGTGATCAGGGGCTGTTGCCACCAAGCAGCCCCTGTTTGCGGCAGGCAGAGCTGGCCGTGGGCAGGGGCTGCTCAGGCAGCAGTCCCTGTTTGTGGTGGACAGCAGGGGTGGATATACGGCAGGGCGAACGGGGCGGCCGCCCTGGGCCCTGCGCTTCAGAAAGCCCCGCGCATGCGCCATGGCGCCACTGCGCATGCGCATGGAGTCACTGAATGCGCATGGAAGTATGCTGCCCGGGGCCCCGCAAAACCGTCATCTGCCCCTGGTGGACAGGGCTGTCAGCTGCGAACAGGGGCTGCTGGATTCAGCGCAAGCTTGGACTGAGCAGTCCTGGCTAGCACTGATTGCTGCTGCTCTGCATTTTAAATGTAGTAAGAGCCCAGCAGTTTGGCTCCAGAGTCCGCAGGAGCCAGGACTGCTCATTCCAAGCTGGAGTTGGCTCCTGGACGTACCCTCAGTACAAACTGTATCGACTATATGATTAGCCAGATAACTGCATTTTAATATCCTTATCTTGAATTATAGATCTATTCTATTAGGCCCAAAGATTTTTTTATTTAGCATTAGCCATTTCCCTTTTTCTTCCATCTGTAAAAATTACAAAAAAAACCCAAAAAACCCATACACCTCAATCCCACCCTTTATTCTACATTTAAAAAAATACTGTGCAATTTAAAATTTAAATTCAATCTATGGGAGTCTGACTGAGTAACGACAGCAGGCTTTCACCCTTAATTGGGGACCAATCTTGCAAAACTTCCACATAGGGAATTCGTATTCAAGTAAAATGGAGTCACGTGACCCGGGGACTAGCAGGAGTAGATCCATAATACATTATTTCAGAACTGCATTAAAGAACTTTAAAATAGTATGCCATTTCTTCCATGACTGAGGTAACCAGGTGGGGAATAATTTTCAGGGTAACCATGACCATGAATTTAATTTTAGTAATTTCCTCAATAAGATGAAAATTTGCTTAAAAGAAACAAACATAATTTAGTTTTTCAGTTAAAATTTTTTAAAATAAATTTAAAATGATTGATTTAAAAAACCCTAAATATCAGTTATGAAACAGGGAAAAGGGAACACTGTCTATCTAGGTTCTTCTTATGTCTAAGGCTGACAAACTGTAAAGAATAAGATTATAAATGGAAATAAAAAGTCAGTTGTTCACATGTATATGACTTCACTTTTGTGTTCTCCAGTTAAAAACAAGGTGGCTGATTTTGAAAGTTGTGATTAGGTGAGCATTGCCACAAGGGATGCGTGCATACACACACAATTGAGAGAGAGAGTTGAACATGCTTCCTCTAAAAATGAATGGGGAAACGTCCATGGACTTCAATATGAGTAAGCTTCAGCTCTAAAAGTAAAATAATATATGGAGGGTGAAATCTTGGCCCTACTGAAGTTAATGGAAATCTTGCTTAGCAACCCATGCCATACTAACCTGTTAATTGCATAGTCTGTGCTTCCGCCAGGATAATTCCATTCTTATCAATGGCTTCCACTTTTACATTGTGAACTGTGTTGGGAGTTAGTGAAGTAAGAATACCGACAACAGGAACATCATTGAAATTTGCCAACAAAGAGTGGCCTACTGTGTTGACGGGGGTCGCTATGATTCTGTAGGAAAAGGCTCCTGAAAACTTGGACCATCTGAGATAAATGTTTCTTGATGTCACATTATATATGGATACAGAGAAACCTACAAAAATACCACAGTAATTTTAGTCTTTCAAAGCTGAAACACACTAAATGTCAAACTCGTTGGACAAAACTTTTTGAAATGTTTAAATAGCCTGAGTTTCAGAGGGTAGATTTTCAGCACTTTTCTGTGGAATTCAGGCCTCTTGAAGGGGCCTCAAGAATAACCAAACTACGTAATCCCCTTTGAAAAATAAATTTTGCATTAAACTATAGCTGAAATAATTTTCTTTGCTTATTTCTGTCACCCATTAATTATACACGATATTGTTTTACAGTGTCACCAATTTTCATGATAATATTGCCAGGCTCATCACCATTGCTATTTTACTAAAGCCTGGCCTACTGGAATTTTCTGAATTCTTGAAAATCTCTTTAATTTAAAAAATAGTTTCTAGTTCTCATGGTTGCAGAATAAAAGATGAAAGTGTGACTCATGTATACCCTATGGCTTAAAAAACAGAAGGCAAATAAAAAGAAGGCAACGTTTTGTGGTGGGTTTTTTTTTTAATCTCATATTTTTTAGATCACTACCTTGTGATTTTTTAACATATGATTTTGGCAGCACTACTATTGTTTACATATGGATTTAATAATCTTGCAAGTGTATGCCTAATCCTTTACCATTCTGTGCATGGAAACTACTTGGACATAAATGTAAGTTCCACACACGAAGAGCTTGCATGATCAGGCCTGCGATTTGTAAAATCTCTAACTATGCTGACTGCAGAAGTAACTGTCCAAATATTGTAGTAAATGTATAGTAATATGTAATGGTTAAGACTCTAGAATATTGTTATATATATTAATATGTACTGCCACAATGTATACAAAATGGATGACTTGTAAGAGCCCAATCCTTCATTCCTTGCTCAGCCAAAACTCACACTGCAGTGAACAGAAGTTCTGGGTGCACAAAACCCACAAGATTGAAGATGGAAATTGCGTATGATTTTAAAAATTAAAGATAAAAATGTAACAAAAAGTTTGCTATTTTAAGAGGGACAAAATATCATAGAAAAGCATGTAAACATTGAATAAACTGTGTAGATAATGGCTATAGGCTGAGAAGGTACTATTCAATGCAAATTAAGTATGACCTTAGACATGTTTACACAAAGAAAGTTCATGCAAATGTATAGTAGTACAGGTAACTATTTTTCAAAACAAGTTTTTAAATAAATATTTTATATGAAGAAACATGTTCCTTTACATTTGCTGAATCTGATTTCAGTTTATTTAAGAATGAATTTTTGTTTGCCAACTTACTAGAATTTAAAAATCAATTTGAATTAGTTATCAGGAATTTCTATGTGCCTTTAGTGTCTATTTAAAAATAAAATGGTAAAAATACCTTTTAAAGACTTTACCTGTGTTAGCTGAAACAATCTGAAAATAAAGATATAGAACATTAGAATCACAAATTAAAAAATTATTTTGGGAAAAGGGAGAACATCTAACTTTTAGCAGTAATGACTTCTGTAAAACTGTATTTTGTGATCATTGCATATTAAGGTGCAATTTTACTTATATATTCAGTTTATTTAATATGCAAAAATATATGGAGTAGTAAGGTGAATTGAAAAGACTGTTACTGATGGGATTTAACATCGGTATGCAGCTCATATTACTATTTCATTATCCTTTATGAATCTGGCTATTGATTCACAAGGGAAAGTTTGCAGTTATTGACAGACTTTAAGACTGTGTTCTTGAAATGTAAGAATGTAGTGATCCACCTGTGGATCTGTTAAGAGTCCAGGAAAAAGTAACAATATAATATTTACCAAAATATAATAGTAAACAATAAGAATAAACATCTTATAAATATGTCGCTTTTGGTTTATTTTTAAAAAGGACATGTAAAAATGTTTAACAAAATTGAACTCACCATTTCAAGATTGATGAGGATAAATCCACTAAATACCAAAAATTTCCCTTTTACACTGGACATCTTGTTGGCCAAACTTTTATTCCATGCTTTGTGTCTGGATGTGATCAGTCACATACCCCATAAAGAGCAGCAATCAGCTGACTACAGTACAAGACTAGACTTTGAGACAGTGAAAAGAAATATTTGGCTGTAGCTCCTCCTTCCCAATCAGGCTGGCCTATAAACAGCTGAAATGAATATTCAGTGAAAACATTGCATCCAACCTCAAATGCCCAGAAATGCTACATGGGCAGACTGTGTTTTGTTCTTTCCTCTGCTACACAGTTGTGATTTTTGTATTGCACCTATGCAACAGATAGCCCAAGTGAACTACTTACATTGGAATTTAGTCTTACTAGTTAAAGTTCACTACATATTATTTGAAAATGTTATACTAGAATTAATAATTTGAGGAAGCATCTTTCTAATTCTTTTTTGTACAGTGCACACTGAAGTAGAAATTACTTTCAGTTTGAATGTTCTTGTCTCCAGATTATTATTATAGTTAGTGATATTCAATTCTTTGTTAAAAGTCTGCCCGTATCTTGCATATTTCACTGTGGCAAAGAATATGCTGTGTAGAAATCTATAGCAATTTATCTGATTAAGCTATCTATATACATATTTTAGTATATTGGACAAACTTCTCAGTCACTTCGCCAAGAATCAATGCACACAACACAGAAATTAGACAATTTCACAAAGAAACAACAGTTTCTTGCCATTTCAACCAGACTGGGCATTGTCTCAATGACCTTATTACATGCATCCTGCTTCAAAAAAACTGCAAACACTAGACTACAAAGGGAAGCCTCAGAACTATCATTCATGCTTAAATTTGACACTTTACCAATGGGCCTTAACAAAGATGCTAATTATCTTACCCATTACAAAGGTAGCTTCCCCAATTATCACCCCTAATATCTTTATCTCATAGACACTAACCTCCCCCCCCACCCCTCTTCTGTTCTAAAATCTGATTTGTCAATTTTATGTGTTCACTTTTTTTGATTGTATCCCTTTGGTATATATGGTTGTGCCAATTTTCTTTCACAATTTGATCTGAGGAAGTGGGTCTGGCCCACGAAGCTCATCACCTAATAAACCATCCTATTAGTCTTTAAAGTGTTGCATAGTCCTGTCTTTAGTTTCAGCAAGACCAGACTAACATGGCTACATCTCTATTACTATTCTACATTTTAGAGTGTGACTGCCTTTCTGCAAGTCCATTTGTTCAAGAACTCCTCTTAAATGGTAAAAGCTAATGCCACCACATTTGGTATTTAGCTTCCTCTTCTCCTAACTTAAAGCAAGGTCAGGTATTGGTTGTGCCAAGGTAATTGAAAGATCTGGAAAAAGGACTGTTTTCCATACCATGAAAAGGATGAGGCTGCTGTATGGAGAGGCATTATACTAAAAGTGGCCACTAGAGCAGCAAACCTGCAAGGGAAAGTTATCCTGCCAAGTGTCTACTGGGGCCAGCTGTATCAACAAGGGAGTGGCCATAAGTGATGAGGCTCTGCCATCTTGCCTGTAAGCCTACTAAGGCTACATCTACACTGCAATGCTATTTCAGGATACAAGAGTATCCCAAAATAGTTATCCTGCATCTTAACAGCAAGCCCATTATTTTACACTCACTATTCCAATGTCCCTGTTCCATAAAGAGTAAGGGATGTTTCAGAATAGCAGCTTATTTCGAAATTTGGCACTGTGTAGATAGCACCAAATTACAAAATAAGCTATTTCAAAATAAGATATGCAGTTTGAGCTGTGCAAATTGTGTATCTTATTTTGAGCTACAGTGCAGTGCATGTAGAACCCAGATGGGCTGCATGTGGTCCTTGGGCTCCAGATTAGGGATGATACATTTAGTTTAATCGACTAATTGATGGATTTTCCATTCACTAGTCAATAAGCAGGGGAGCCACAGTAGGGTTAGTGACTGGCCCCAGGAGCTAACCTTGCACCAGCTTTGCCCTTTAAAATGTATTAAGAGCCAGCAGGCTCTTAGTACATTAAAAAGACAGGAGTGCAGTGGGGGGCCTCGGCATGAGCTGGGAGTCAGTTGTCCAAACTTGCACTGGGTTCCCCCTGTGAAACTTCTGATTTTTAAATGTGGTAAGAGCCAGGAGGCTCTTAACACATTTAAAAAGTAGAGGTGCAGCCTGTCAGGTGCAAGCTGGGAATCAGCTGATTCCGGGCTTGTATCTGGTTCCCCCTACTCCAGAGATGGTGCTGGGGGGGGGGAGTGACTAGTCGAGGGACAAGTCGACTATCCAATATGCAAATGTTTATCCGATAGTCAACTAGTCCCTTACATCCCTAGCCCAGGATGCCCACCACTGCCTTGGAGCCCTGGAGTGCTGTGCGGTATCACCCCTCCCTGGGCGCCTCTAGCCATTGCGGTGTAGCCAGGAGAAGCAGAGGTCAGAAGGCTGCCCAGCCGAGCGGGCGCGGAGCGGCGGGAGCAAGTGCTGATTGCGGCGCCCAGAGGGACTTCGCCTCCCCAGCTGCCTTGACGCGGTCAGACAAGGGCGAGAAAGCCGGTAACATCACGGCCCTGGGGGGGCGGGGCTCCGTGAGAAAAGCGAGACCTCGGGTTGCCGAGGGCGGGCTGCGAGTGCGGACGGGATGACGTAGGCGGCATGGCGATGGCGTATGAGTGAGGTGGAGTGGGGAAGCAAGATGGCGCCGGCGGCGGTTGGCGCAGCGTCCGGGGAGCGGGGTCTCAAGAGCCTGGTGTGGCAGAGTAAGTCCGGGGGACGCGTGTTCCCTGCCCTGCCCGCGGGCCCCCGCCGCGCCTTCTCCTCCAGCCCCGCGCCGTGCGGCTGCGCCGAGCCCCCCTGCCCCACTGTGGGGAGCCCGGGCTGGGGCCCTGCCCTTACTTCTTTGGGGCCTTCCTCCGTGGGCCCCGCAGCCCGCGTTCCCCTCTGCGCTCCCGGGGCCCGCGGAGAAGCAGGGGGCAAGCGTTGGTTGCTTCGGGGAGACGGACTTTGCTTCACTGAACGGGAAACGGCCGCTGGTCCCACCGGGCCTGGCCCCCCTGCCCCACTGTGGGGAGCCCGGGCTGGGGCCCTGCCCTTACTTCTTTGGGGCCTTCCTCCGTGGGCCCCGCAGCCCGCGTTCCCCTCTGCGCTCCCGGGGCCCGCGGAGAAGCAGGGGGCAAGCGTTGGTTGCTTCGGGGAGACGGACTTTGCTTCACTGAACGGGAAACGGCCGCTGGTCCCACCGGGCCTGGGCGGCGGCTGCTTCTCCCTAGTGCTTTGGAGGCTCTGAAGCCCCCGCTGAGCCAGGGTCCCCGGGCAGCGAGGGCACGGGCTGAGCGAGTGGCCATGTTTTGTGGAAGATCTGTCTCGACTTCAGTGATGTCTTTTTTTTTCCCCGACATCGGGTCCTACCTTCACGAGCCTGGGCTGTCTTGTTGATCACTTATGTACGGAAATAAACGTACAACGAGACCAGGTGACTTCAGATGCTGGGAAGTGCCACTGACTTGCACTGACAAGTGGTGTTCTTCTGTGCTCCAATTTGCACTAGTTTAATTAGTTTAGCTTTTGTCCCGATCATCATTTTTCATTGGAATGTTAAGGAAATAGTTCTGCTATGGAAACTGCAACATTAATATTGTTCTAAGCACAGGATTTTCTACTCTTCTCCCTTCTGTGGTTGGTGGGGGGTAGTTGAGTTAGTCTGTTACAGGAAAAAAAAATGGTCTGGTAAATAGTCTCATACTACTTTTTTGTATTGTCGCAAACATTTTTCTTTTGGAAACAAAATACAGGACTATGTAGCACTTTAAAGACTAACAAGGTGGTTTATTAGATGAGCTTTCGTGGGCCAGACCCACTTCCTCAGATTAAATAGTGGAAGAAAATAGTCACAACCATATATACCAAAGGATACAATTAAAAAAAGTGAACACATATGACAAGGACAAATCACATTTCAGAACAGAAGGGGGATGTGGGGGGGGGGGGGAGGGGAAGGTAAATGTCTGTGAGCTAATGGTATTAGAGGTGATAATTGGGGAAGCTATCTTTGTAATGGGTAAGGTAGTTGGTGTCTTTGAGCGCTACAGGTAGAGTGTCGAATCTTAGCATGAATGACAGTTCAGAGGATTCCCTTTCAAGTGCAGATTTGAAAGGCTTCTGGAGTAGGATGCAGGTAATTAAGTCATTGAGACAGTGGCCTTTCTGGTTGAAATGGCAAGAAACTGTTTCTTTTGGAAACTTGATACTAGTAACAATCTATGTAGGAAAATAGAATCTAGTAATAAATTAGGTAATTTTTAAGAAAGATTGTACTGCATATGACAGCATAAATGGATGTAGATTTCATAAAATGTGAAACAAGGGGGAGGGGGAACAGCATTTATTACTGGTGACTTTGTCAAATCTGGCAACACTGGTAGAGTCACTATTGTGGAAATATGTAGAGACTGAAAATTGAGTGTCACCCAGAACTCAAGCATTCCCTTGTTTTGTTTTCCTCCACTGATGGATGGAAAACTTTCCTGGAAAATGCAAGGGAATTAAGCCATTCTACTCAATGTAACCTTTCCTTTGTTGCAAGAGGAAAGCTAAGTTTCTAGCCTTTATGGTTTTGAAAGTAATCTTACCTGTATATAGGGGCCTAACAAATGCATGGTCTAGTGATCAATTTCACACTACATGGTTTTAAAAATAATACATTTCATGATTTCAGCCATTTAAAACTGAAATTTTACAGTGCTGTACAGGCAGTCCCCGACTTACGCGGATCCGACTTATGTCGGATCTGCACTTACGAACGGGGCTTTCTCGCCCCGGAGATCGAGGTAGCGGATTGCTACCTGCGAGCTCTGGGGCGAGAGAGCCCCGTTCGTAAGCTGTTCTGGTGCCCCATGTCTGCTGGAGACCGTCTCCAGCAGACCAGGGGCACCGGGCGGGTTCCCGCGCTTCTGAGGCTTTGCCAGAGCAAAGCCTCAGAAGC